GAGAGAGAGAGAGAGAGAGAGAGAGAGTGAGTTTTTTACGCATGTAACATTCAAGTATTCTCTATTGCCTTCTATTTGCAGGGGAACATCTATGGCCTCGTTCTTATGGGCTTAAAGATGGCTTATCAGTGACTGATCTACATAATTTGAGACCAGCAGATGTGAATGGTATGAGAAAATATCATTTTCCTTATATTCGACAACAAATAGGTGATATTACAATTTACAAGCTTCAAGTATCAACAATTTGGATTCATAGAAAGTTTTGGCAATGTTTTACGTTGGTTGCCTATCTAACACAATCCACCTCCTTTATCCGGGCTTGAGACAGGTTAAGAGAAAGTTTAAGGTCTTCAACCTTCTTAGACTAGAAAAATGAAGAGATTGAGGAAGATGCCTTGCATGGAATTAGAGTTGGGTGGGCAAAATGGAGATATGCCACCAAAGTTTTATGTGATCACCGCATACCAATAAAGTTGAAGGAGAAGTTATATAGGGCAGCTGTGAAACAGCTTTGCTTTATAGGATGGAATATTGGGTAGTCAAGAAACAACATACTTACAGGATTAGTGTAGCTGAGATGATGATGTTGAGATGGATGAGTAGCAACCAAGACGTAATAGAATTCGAAATGAATACATTGGGGACAATTTAGGTGTGGCTCCAATAGACGATAATATGAGAAAAAGTAGATTTAGGTGGGCTGGTTAACGCAGGCCCAGTATGGCACCTATTAAGATGTGCGAGTTGGTTCAAGTGGAAGCCTAAAAAGAAGTAAGGGGCAGACCAAAAAGACATGGTTGGAAGTAGTGACAAAAGATATGGGGATTTATGGTCTTACTGAGGGTATGACTCTTGATAGAGTAGAATGACATGTCAGGATTTGTGTAGCCAACACCAAATAATTGGGAATAAGCTCTGACGATGATGATGATGAGAGTATCAAGTATCAACAATCTTTATGTACTTTTATCTTGGAAAAGGATTGGTCTTTATGTACTTTTAACGATCAAAAGGGCAAAAAAAACTTTATCCTAATAGATGCTTCCTTTTTCTCCTTAGTTGTATCATCATTTTTTTGTTAAAGAAAAAAAAATTGGGATTGTTTGTTAAATGTGGCAAAAACTATGCATTTATCTGCTCCCATAAATATTTCAGAAGCTTGCCTAACTATGAAACTCTAGACTGTCGCTTTTGAAGTTTCAGAGGTTACAGAGAAAGTGGAAAAGTCTTCCCATTGTATTTTGTTAATCTGATAAGATGCTTGCTTTTCTCCAGTAAATTCATCAAGAGGAAACAAGTATTACGGGGAATGTGCTCCTAAGGAAAGCTACTGTATCAGACCAGCTAACAAGGAAGCTGCTCCTGATACTGCAACAGACAAGGAAAGATGGGCACCACCATTACTGGTAATCCAGTTTCTAGTATCTTTTTCACATATCATATCTATATCAATACAGAGAACATATAAGTATCCTGTAAATCTTCATCTGCAAGTCTACCAACTTTTCCCCTTCTTGTGGGAAGCTAATGTTTATCAAACAATTCTCAAGCATAAAGGAAAGAAAAGAAGAATACTGACATAACTTGGTGTCGAGATTTACAGGTCAGGGGTGATATAGCACGATCATTAATGTACATGGCAATACGTTATGGGTTACATCAGCCTAGTGGAGCTCCTGACCTCCAGCTCTCTGATACACCAAGCATGGGTAAGGTTTTGGGACTTGAAAATATATCGTGGTTTTCCATATTGAGTTAAATATGTCAATTTTGTTCAAACCCATCAGAAGTTAATGCCTTTATGCCATCTCAGATTTTTCAGTATCATTGGGATTCATAAAATACTGATCTCTGCAGCAATCTAGGGTTTTATTATGATTTAGGAAATTTATGGGTTATTTCCTTTCTATCCATTTTGTAGAATTAGGTTTATTGACCAACAATAATGTACTCCTTTTTCGTTCTTTTCTTCTTTGAATGGACTTTGAGATATTTGATTTTATAGAGAATGGAAGAATGGGACTTCTCGCAGCACTGTTACCATGGAATGAGATCGATCCTCCATCAATATCAGAGCAGCTGAGGAATGATAGGATCTGTGGCCATTACCAACATAATCGAAATCCTTTTGTTGACCACCCCGAATATGCAAATCTAATTTGGAAAATTCCTAACCAACCGAATTCAGTTGGATATGACACCTTTCAAGATGCATGGATAAATGAGTTTCATTACAACAACAAAGGGAAAGATCGAAACGAGGTATGTGCAATTGTTGGTACCGCATAGAGATTCACATAAGTAGTAGTGTCATATAATTGAATCAATATAATCGGCATCTTGTTGGAGAGTCTTGAGACTCCAAACCAACAGAAAATGGACAGTTATGTCTATGGTTTTTTGCACATGTGGACACACCAAAGACATGGCACCTGTTTGATACTTTCAAAACCTAGACACTTCTTTTAAAACTTTCTACTTGAAATCTCCTCATAAAAGTACTTAAATGTTACTTAAGCCCCCTCTTTAAATGGCGCGCAAAAGTTGTGTTTGATAGGACATCTAAATCTGCATTTTCTGACACTAGTAATTGTGTAAAAAATTGGCACATCTATCCATGTATATGTAATGCAGCTCCAAACCGATGTTATCCGGAGACTTCATTCTTGAAGAAGTATCATGCATTGACACATGTGGACACTTAAACGCTATGTCAACACTTCCAAACATAGAGAGTACTAAAAAAATGTATAGAGTACAAGAGTGGGGTTTGCCAAGTTTGTGTGGTCTACAGCCGCTATGCCAACCACATCTAATTGTAGAACAACGTGAGCTATCTATTATGTATATATCAAAAGCTTACTGGAAAATAACTACACATACATGTCTTGCTATATTGGCTCCTAAGTACTAGATATTTAGACATGCATGGAATTTGGACACTTGTGTTCATGTCTGAGTAATGTAGCGCCCCTCGTCATGTTTCAATTCTTCATGTTTGTCTGTTTATGCAGTTCGTTGAAGTGGTTGTCAGAGAATCCATGGACCCTTCTGACTTTACAGTCGTACTGTATAATGGGTCAAATGGGAGGACATACATGTCTCTTCCCTTAACTAATGGGAGAATTTTCACCAAGACGAGTGGTGGTTCTGGTTTCTTAATCTACACAGCATTTGTTCCACTTCAAAATGGTCCTTCCGATGGTATTGCTTTGGCTTCAAGCAAGCATGGCAATACCAACTTCAAAGTAATTCAGTTTCTTTCTTATGGGGGTGTTGTCAAAGCAATTGATGGACCAGCAATTGGTAGTGAATCCATAGATATCAAGCTTAAGGAGACAGCAATGTCCTCTGAATATGATTCATTGGGGTTAGAAGGGGATGGAACTGAGGAATTTAGATGGAAGAGGTTCATGGGTGAAGCTACTCCAGGAAAATTGAATCAAGGCCAGATGATTATCAAGGGGCCATGAAACTTCTATTTTTTAGTTTGAGGTAAGATTAAAACCTTTTTTTTCTGGTTTTAAGATAAAAGTTGAAAATGCCATCCTTTGATCTGGAGATAACTGGGAATACCAGGGGAATTTTTTAAGAGAAGGATAAAATAAAATAAAAAACTATGGTGAAGCAATCGAGATAGTCTGCATTGCTAAAAGAGCTCGATTAGCTCCCACGTATCTGTGAATTTTTTATTTTATGAATAAGACCTAAACTTTCCAGAATTTTCAGATCAGATGGTTACATGAGTTCTCTTTCGGCCCTTACCTTATGGGAAATTTTTTCATAATTATTTCCCAAAATGATGAAAACCACCCTTGCTCAAAACCATTTTAAAATAGAGTAGTACTTAACTTCAGCAGATTATTTAGGACTACCAAAGTTCAACATGTGTTGATCATCCCCATAAATAAAAACCTCAGGCTTCCTCTCCTACAAAATAAAGCGAACCGAAAGCATATATTGCCGAAGAAGTATAAAAGCATTCTGCTAATTAACTTGGGGATCAACCCCTTAGTGTTTAAATTCATAAGCCAAAAGGATGTTACAGAAAAGCACCACATTTGGTTATAGAGACTACTAGTATTCTAAGAAAGAAGGGATGTACATAACTTCAGCTTATTCTCATGAATGTACACCATGAGGAATCCAAGAATGAATATCTCATCGAATGCTGGCTTATTCATCATCGGTATCACCATAATTATCATCACTTTCTGGCTCATAAATCTGATATTCATCTTCGCTAAGAACAAAATCTTGATCATTGTCGGTACATGCAGTAAAAGGAAACCTTCCCAAGAGCTGTTGAAGAAAGCCCTTTTCAATGTTATCTCCTCCTACGCCTTAACAAGTTCAGGAAATACTTGCACAAAAGATAAAAGCGGCCATAAAGAAACAACATTAGTTGAATAAAGTTTTATCAAGATCAGCAAAACCTCAAGGATACTATTTTCTGTTGGATGGGCATGAGTATTCTCTTCAGCCTACAAAACCCAATAATTTTGTCAAAAGCTTATATTCTCATCTCATATTAAAAATACAAAATATACTTGTGAACAAAGAAAGAAATACCAAATTGGCACGGACCAGCAAAATTAACAGCCAAAAAATTATCTAAAACTCTCACATGGATTCAGTTTGAAAAGAATATATATGTCTTGAAAAAAGTACATTCAAACATTTGCTTACATCTGAGGGCACATATTCCTCTAAATCCTCATCCTCAATTTCATCGTCATCCTCATTCTCATCATTACCATACACATGCTCTATGTCTCTTGACATGTCTTCTGTTACTCCAAAATGATCATCATTATGACCTGCAAATTTGATGAAAAACACTGATAGGATATAAATGGAGATACTTAGGGGTACCAAGTATATCATAGGAATATCAAGCCAAGTTATATACGATCACGGTGCTATCTTGTGCAATAATCCTATATGTGCAATCGCTTGATTTTTACCAAGGAGAAAACACACATTCGTGTAGGCGTTCATTTGTATGCCTGCATGTGTACATGTGTGTGTGTGCATAAAGCATACCAAATGGACTATGGGAGATCATAGTCCACTGAATCATCACCCAAAATAATTTGCAAGGCAAAGGAAAAACATTTCCACATTGACTGACAAAAAACCAACAAAATGTTTTTCACAAATAACAACCTGTGTTACTTTCTAGAAGATCCTCCCCATCATCTATTGTTCTGCTTTCAAGAACTTCAATCGTTCTTAAATTTGACTTCACAAGGTCCTTTGCTTCCTTGCTAGAAAGTAAGGAAAGGAACCTCACCTGAACACGTAAACGCAAGCGCTCGAATGTGTTCCTGGAGAACCACCCTGTCGATTGCTATATTCCAATAAATATTGCCATAAAGCCCATGTCAGTTCGTGCCTTGTACATCCCAAAATACAAAATAAGGAACAAATGAAAGCCAATATGAAAAGTGTTGCGGTGTTTCCTTCTTGTTTTTTTTTTTCTGAGGAAACCTCATAATGAAACAGGATATGATCATGCATAAAAACAAAAAAATCAGATATTTAAACATGTACAGCACAAGATACAAGTATGATAATAAGGATCAACTTGGCATAAAAGGTACAACGTGTGAAACAAATCCATCAAGTTTTGGAAGGGTTATTTTAGTAGAAGGCGTTCCTGCCGCCACTGTCTTTTATCCTTGTTATTTTTTCTCTTTTTCTCGTCTTTGTTATTCTTCCTTTCCTCCCTGCCTCCCTCCCTCCCTGAATTGAACAAGTCTTCGTTTCAAGGTGCTCATTGAGTAAAGGTGAGGTACACATCCATTTCATGAATTTACAGTTAATCATCAGAAGAATAAAAAAGAAACAAACAACAAAGTTCGGAAGATACATAGCAGCTGCATGGGAACACCCACTAGGGGCACTTGGGAACTGCAGGAAACAAGATCCTAACTTAAGAAGCAAGATGCATGAAAAGTACACAACATGAGCAACAGGAGGATTTCAGAATACCATTATCTTGTCAGTTAAAACTCATTTTGTGCTCAGAAACAAACTAATCCAAATGAGTGATTAACCTAATATGTAAAGCAAGTTTATTTCCAATACAGAAAATGACCAGACATGTGCTCTCTAAAGAACTTACCTGGCAAACAGTCTGTTCCGAAGGTTTTCTGATTTCTTGTTGAATATAAGGATCTTCAAGTTCAACCAGTTGAAAGAAGGTGAACATTTTCAAAGGAAGAGCTTGGAACTGACATAAATCTTTCCAGGTGCTCCCCATTCTTCGATCACAGAAAAATCAAGAGTAATGATGAAGTAAATAAATGTGCGAAAAAAGCATCAACCAACACTAATCTTCCCAAAGTCATACATAATAAGCTCAATGGAGATCTTATCATTCAAATGAATATGAGCAAAATATCACCTGGCACCTATCAATGTTCAAAAACTTTAACTCAAGACTAGGACTGAATTCATAAAAATTTCCATATCAGAAATTTACACACCTAGTACAATTCTGATTTATTTAGTTTGTGGAAAACTTGAATATGATTATTCAGTGCTCCAAGTACCGTCCTTATATTTTAATTATAGAAGAAGTAAATACTATAAAATATACGTCAAGCAAATCAATTCATTGAACATTCAAAGACTAAGACATAGAACACCAATAGTAACTGACTGACTAATATCTAAACCAAAGTCCCAAGGAAGATTGAAGTAAAAAATGGTATTCCTAAAGAAAGTTTTAGACCCAACAATCGAAGGAAAAGAAATTTACTGCTTATGATACACTCACATGCCCATGAAAATCAAAGCAATGTCTCACATGTATAACCAAAGCTACAAAAGAAGGGAGCTAAGGAAACCACCAAAATCCACACTATAGTACCTATATGGTTTCAAATAAGATGCTAAAAGCTCCTCAAATACTAGATGGTTGGGGATCGCCATTCCTCTGATGTCAATTTTGACAGACATCTGAATGAAGTGATGCTCAACCATTTGTTGTCGTTGACATCAGACATTTTGAGAAGTTAGTCTCAGACCAGTACTCTCTCTCTCTCTCTCTCACTGCGCATGCTTGCTTGGATGCATGTGTCTGAAGGTACACTTCCACCAAAATAAAATGGAAAAGCAAACTTACTCTTGATTTATGCTTGTATCTATACAATTTCTGAAAGGTTTTGGCACACGGAATTCAACTCTTTGGTATCTGCCAATTCCAAGAAAGTTAAACCGTCACTCACATGCTACTATTTGCCCATTTCAGAAAATATAAAATACTTTCAAAGAAAAACAGCAGAGACAGACGCTAGTTAACCATCAATAACACTTGTCAGAAGCAAAGCGAAAACATGATCATTTAAAAACAAAGAAAAGTGTATTCCCAACGATTCTTCAAAGCACGGATTCGGAGTAGTACTGAGATGACTCACAGATTGTTAAAACCCCGTGAGAGAATGACATAGACATATTTCTATTGATAGTGGATGACAAACAATAAAACAATCAGCAATTCAGCATGGAAAAGTTCTGCTTCATTGGATAGGTTGCCAATGGGATGCGAACCCAGGAGGTGGTGCTGCAATCTTCAACACTGAACATTCAAGGCAGGTGGCCGATCCCCAATAAGGAAAAGAGCACTATAATAAAATGGACTATAGTAAATCATAGTCTATTGGATTGTGTAACAGATTGACTCTCACCAGTGTAGGACATACCCTAAGAGCTGGCCACTCTCTCCATCAATGGGGATAGTAATGACCCCATTGACTATGGTTTTTCCTATTCATTTGACTACACCTTGCCTTTCAACAAAGCTTCCTAAGCTAGGACCCAGAAACTAGTCATGTTTAGCCTGTCTCTTAATAATATCACAGTGAACTACTAGATATAAAAATCAAAGGCCAACATGGCAGACTGAGTTTGCATTTAACCAATAACCCTTGATGAGTTAAAAAGTGAAATGATGGCATTAGGTACAACCGTGCAGTGCTTAATTTTCACAGTTAGTTCAAGGTGATAAGAGGCATTAAAATAAATGATTTCATGTTTAATAAATTTCAGTGGTCAAGATGTTTTATACAGAAAAGGAGTGAATGTGGCAGCACTTTCTTGTATTAGGAAAGATCCATCAAGGATTTCTTGCTTCTAAACAAAATAAAAAAACGATTGAAGACAAGACAACAAAGTGTTGTGGATCTTTTGATGAATTTGGAAAATTTATCAAATTACACATGAAAGATTAATTTAACACTACCAAGACATAGTATACAAGTTTAGTAAAAATAGAAGTAGAGACGAGAAAATAGTTAAGATTGATGGCCATGAAATATAAAAAAGAGCGTACTTTCGATATCTTGGATCAATAATCCAAGAAAATTTAGAGATTGAGGAAGATGTCGCACATAAAATTAGAGTTGGGTGGACGAAGTGGAGATGTACAACCATAATTTTATGTAATCGCCGCATACCAATGAAGCTGAACTGCTGAAGGGCAAGTACTATGGGACAACTGTGAGACCAACTTTGCTCTATGGGGCGAAATGTTGAGTGGTCAAAAAACAATATATCTATAGAATGAGTATAGTAGAGATAAGAATGTTGAGATGGATGAATGACAAGACAAGAAGGGGTAGAATTCGAATGAATATAATTTAGAAAATTTTGGTGTAGCACCAACAAGCGATAAGATGACAGAGTGTAGACTTAAATCGGCTAGCCATGTGTGGCCCAGATCCAGTACAACACCTGCTGAGAGGTGCGAGTTAGTTCAAGTAGACGGCTAAAAATTGGAAAGGCGTAGACCCAAAAGAACATGGTCAAAGGTAGTGAGAAAAGATATGGAACTTATGACGTCATTGAGGGTATAGCCCTTAATAGAGCAAAATGGCAGACCAGGATTTTTGTAAGCGACCCTAATTAGTTGGGAAAAGGCTTTGACGATGATGACTAATATTTTTTAATTTAATTTCAAAATCTCCATAAACTTATACATAATCTTGAGTTGGAATAGTTACAAAATGGTAAATTGTTAAATAGTTCATCTCTTGTGGGTGTTTTCATCAATTTCACAATGAATTTTTAGCTTTGAGAGGTTTCCCCTGTTGCATGACACTGACCGATTACTTTTAGATGTTTTTTCTTCTTTTAGTAATTCAAAGGGCACCCTTGAAGATAATAAAATAAGAACTACTTTTAGATTAATTAAGTGAAGTTATTTCTACAAACTTGCTTTAACAGGATTCTTTCAATCGATTGCAAGTTATATCATCAACAATAAGTTAAAAGGCAGAAAGATGCACCAATTAGTCTCTTGTTTTCTCTAAAATCCCCTCAGCATAATGCAGGCAACCGAGGGGGTCGCCAAATGCTTCATTTAAATATAATAGGCACACACAACAAGATACTATGATACAAAATAAGCATAGTTTATAAATTTATCATAGTATTATATATCGG